ATCTGTCCCCTAACAAGTCACTGAGGGTGAACTGCTGCTGGACAACCCCCACCTCTTAACCTTCATGACATCCCTAGAAGGAGTGGGTGGGATGTTTGGGGGATCAGTGTCAGCCCCAGGGACCTGCCAATTCTGCATGCTCGAGCTAGAGATGGAACTGTCAGGTATCACCTTCAGGTATCACCCTCAGGTACCACCTGTGAGGCTAACAGCTCCCAAATTCCATATTTCCACACCATTTTTTGAAAGATGGGCTTTGGCATCAGGTTATGGCTACATCCAGGCTGTCCTGTAGGATGTGGAGATTCAGGCAGGGTTGGAGATAGCCTGACAGCCTTTCTTGTAGGTGAAGCTTTTAACCTGGGAGGAGGTTGGGGTGGGAGGGAATGGCCCAGGTGTGCCCTGGGTGCAGGTGAGCTCAGTTGCTCTGCTAAGCCCCTGCAGCTGGGGCTGAGTCAGATGGGGAGCACAGTGTGTGCCAGAGCCTGGGGTGAGAGGAGTGGATGGTTCTCCAGAGCACGGTAAGGTTGTGCTGGACTTTATTTGGCTTTCCTTGAAAGGTCTTATGTTGGTTGGGTGCATTTTGCAATGTCTTGCATTTGTAGCATGCTTTTTTTTCTACTTGGAGAAGTCACTGAGTGAAGGTTTGGAGCTCAGGCTGGTGTTGGAGGACACCAGCTCAGGGGGTGGTGTTGGTGACCTCTGAGGCTGGTTGACTTGGTCAAAGCAGACCTGGTTTTGCTATGTTGGAGATAACTACCTGGAGAACTCAGTCTTAGCAGGAGAAGCTGGAGAGGGGATGATGAATGTGTTGGTGTCCCACAGGGAATGCTGTGGGGGAAGAGTTACAGCTGCATTTCCTTTTTTTGCTGTGGTTTGTGCTGCCCCTTGTAGGAGATGTGAAATTTCATGACTGTGCCCTGAAACAGGATTATTTTATCTTCCTTTTGCAGAGTTGCAATGAAATATGAAGCTCATGGTAATGGTTTTCTATTTCTGTTACAAATCCCTTCCCGAGTGAATATATTTACTGTATGAAGTTGCCTGAAATTCCCAAAGGCCCCAACTCTGTAAAGTAAACTGCAGCCACCTGTCCTTATGTGAATTCTTTGTAGGGCCAAGACCTGAACTGGTTTGGGAATTTTCTATTTTTCTGAGTGAACAGGTATCTGTTACAGAGACACTGGTGCAAAAGGCACTGATTTCTTGGAGAGTCAGTGAGATGCAATCAGTGAAACATGAGGTCCTCACACCCCTTCAGTCTGGGCAGGTGGGGTGGACTTGTTGCATTTTGCTGTGGTGCTTTTCCTGGGGCTTGTCCCAGTGCTGGAGGGAATTTTTGGTGGAGGCAGCTCACAGCCTGATGGCTGAGGGAGCACATTCCTCTGTGCCGTGGCTCTGATGGTGTCTAGACGAGCGTTGGTTACTGCCCAGTCATGTTTCTCAGGCTGACTCGGCACTGGTGTGGGCTCAGCACTTTGAGTCATAATGCAAGAACTGAAGCTATGGTTTGAATCACAAAAATGCAAGAACTGAAGCTATGGCTCTGATAGAACCTCATGGCACAACCCCCTGGGGCCACAGGCACTACTGCTGCTCCTTTAGCCTCAACCTTGTTCACACCAACCAGTGAATTACAGGTTTGGGTAGGTCAGGATTTAGTTTCACATCCTAGATCTGTGATTTTGTCCTTGATAACTTGGGCTGTTCATTTTTCTCCCCTAATCCTCACTGCTATTTGTTTCCTATTACTGAACCTTTTGGAAATGAGGATCTGCTGTGTGATTTGCATTAGACAAGTACAGTCAGAGTTCATGGAAACACTTGGTGAGAGCTGTTTCCACACCTTGCTGAGCTGATTCACTCAGGAGTCAGCAAAGGCTCTGGAGTGCTCTTTCTGCTTGAGGTTTATTACAGAGGCATCGAGACAGAAATGCAGCAATAGTTTATCTCCCTCTTACGGTTAAATCCTGAACAGCCACGCTGGGAAAGGCAGGGAAGGAGCAGAGAGGGAGTCCCTGCACAACCACCTCGGTGCTTGTGGATGATGCTCACAAGCAGTAACTCCCCTCTCTTTAAGGAAACTGGTAAAATATACTTTCACTGCAGTATGAGCAGCAAAATACCTGTGAAGGAGTTTAACTGCTCCAGTCCCTTGTGAGTTTGAACTGGGAGCTGGTTACAAATGTAATTATAGCATGGCTTGGGTTGGAAGGGACCTTAAAGATGCTATTAGATAATGGCAGTTTTGATTCTGTTTCTTTTGGTGTACTCTGCTTGAGTCAGTGTCTGACTTGCCAAGGGACTAGACACTGGTCAATAAAACAACTGAGGAGGGCAGAGAACTGGCTGGACTCAAGTGTTTGTTCACTGAGTTCCTTTCTCCATGGCACTTAGCTGCATGATCACCTGATGTGGGATGTGTCTTGAGCTGATTGTGTTGAATTATGCTGTGGTATCAAGCCTGAACCAAATGATTCCCTTAAAAACCTTCTCTGCACTTGCAAAAGGGCTGGAAGAATGCATGTGCCCAAAATCCATGCTCAGGTGAGACTGGTCTTGCTGAGATGCTCAGCAGCTGTGGCTGCCTTGCTCTGTTTGCAATGTGTTTCAGGTTGAATCACAAGCATCATTTCTGGAGCTGTTATCACAGAACAGCTCCATAGTGAGTGTCTTGGGGATTTTTTTTAAATGTAAGACTTGCAAGAGAAGTTACAAAAAATAATTAGGAATATTAATACTTTATAGTAAGAATCACTTTTGCCTCAAGAATGTGTTATAAACACATTATTCATCACTTAACTCCTGATCAGAACATGTAATGAAGTTTATCTTGGACTGAAATATGTATGTCTGTAAAAATAACTTGGATTGCTTTGTGTGTTTGGTGATGTGCATTACATGTACATTTGTCAAGAATAATGGGGAAAGGCAATGGAATTCTGCCCTGTTTTTCTAACATGACAGCATTTGGGACACTGTTGAAGGAGCAGATACCAGGAGTGTTGTAAGGCTGCAGTCCAGAGCTTGGTGTGAAGGGAAAATAGATGGTGGGAAAGTAAGAAAGGTTCTGCAGTGCTGCAAGTGATGCTTGAACTGAGATGCTGGCGTAACATGAGAACTGCTGCTTGAATTCCTGAGTGTCTTAGGCCTGTCTGCCTGACCAGACTCCTCAGACTGTTTAGCACATCCAGCACAGCAAAACCAGACTCATACACTAACTTCAGTCCAACATTTTGCTACAGGGAACAGTTTGACTTCTACAGTGGGTGCACATTTGTCCTTTTGTTCTGGTGTGAAGATTTCTGTACTATCGCTGAGTTATTAAGGCTGGAATCCTGGTTCTATTAGTCCACAGGGACACGTGTGTATTATCAAAGGGCACTGCCTAAAATATTGGCCTTGGTGGGTTTTGTCACTGTCCCATCATGTCAGGTGTGTTTCTAAAGCTTCTTACTTCCAAGACTGATCCAAAGCAAGGACTTCAGAGCCCAAACATGAAAGACTCTGACCCCACAGATGGATTGGCTGTCTCAGCTCAGTAGGTGCTTCAGATCTGATCTGGAAGTTCCCAGAGTCACTGCAGTCATGCACTGAGCACAGGCTGAGCCCCACCAAAGGCACAGCAGTGACAGTGCTCAGGGGTTAGCACAGCACCACAGCCAAGAGAACAATGGGGAAACCTTTTAAAAGCCACGACAGCTGAGTCTATTCTCCTTCACTCTTGTGTTTAAAGCACTTGTGAGGTAGGAAATACAGGTTGAGATTCCTTTTCACTGCTGTAAATCCAGCTCTACTTACTATTTAATCTGTCCCTGCTCCCTAACTACTAGTATTGTAATTCACAATTTGGCTAAGCACAGTCAGAATCCTTTTCACTTGCTCTTTTGACTCTTGTACCATTTTTTCCCCTCCATAAATGGCTCAGTTTCAAACAAGTGGTCGAGACACTCTAATAGAAGGTAAAAGATCTTTTTCTGCCAAGAGTTGCCCTTAAGGCTCTGAGGGAAAACATCTACTCCTGATTTGGAGAGCAGTCTTTAACCACCAAATCAACATGCACGAGAGAGCCCTTTACTCACACAGTCCTTACACATCTTATATGGAAAGAAATACTAATAACCATCTTATTTCATGATAAGAACCGACCCCACATGGTTAAACCAGCACTAACCTATGAACTGTGTTAGGTCACACTTGCACTAGGCTTCCAGTAATCAGGACTCCTGGATTGAAGTAGTTTTTCCTTAAGAAAAAAGGTTCTGAGGAAGGCAGGACTCAAGAGATGCTTTTTGAAGTGTTTTATTGCAAAAAGGTGTGGACATTTGCTGGCAGAAGAGTTGATCACATTCTCTGTTTGACTGTCATCCAGAGGACACTGCATGCATTCAAGCTGAAAGCATAGGACAGTTTCCACTAGGCACCTGAGAAATTTCACAGGAAAGGAAAAGTCTTTCAAGCTAAGAGACAAGTTTCAAACTGATCACCTGCTTTGGTGCCCTTTTGCTTCCCAGTTACCTAGGAAATAAGAATTAAATCAGCTATAGCCATAACCAATTGTGTTCCTGTGATGCAACAACAGTTATCAAGACAATTGATCTTGAAGCTTTATGTCCAGTTTTGAAGAGGAAATCTTTCCTAAAGCAGGCAGTGAGTTACACCTGACCTGGCACCTCCTGCTCGATGCTGTGTTATGCAGCAGAGGTGCATGACACCTCCTCTCACCTGCCTTATAGCAAAGGAACTCTCTTACTTGGTCTCTAAGAGAACATCCCACCCCCAAACCCTCTTTCCTTTTTTTTCCTGCTCCTAATATCTCAAACCACTTCCCTACTCCCTCCAGACAATCCCTTTTCCTTCCCACCCCCCTCACCCAAAGGCATAACTAATGAATACATGCTGCTCTGTAGTGCAGTTCATAGCACAGGTATCTTCACACTTTGGCTGTCTCTCTGCACACAGAGCTCCAGGGGCACCTGAATTTCACCACTTCAGTGCCTTCCCACAGGTCTGATAAAGGTTAATCATCTTTGGCAGAACAACAGTCCTGCACCAAAGGGAACAAGTGATCCATTGCCAATCTAATAGGGCATGTTGCAACTGCAGCTGCTCAGGATCAGGAACTCACTGCAAGGAAAAAAAGAGAGTTTAAAGGGTGTAAAAGTACCTTCATGACTTGCTGCATTTGGATAGATTAGGACATATTAACAGCTGCACTTTGCTGTGGGTTATAATGGACTTTTCAACCACTTGAACCAGATAAATGCAAAGATCTGGAGCATTAGAGCTGCAAGTCACAGGTAAGTAACTCAGGATGATACTACAACCCTTAAAACTTTGACTATTAAGCTCAAAATCATGCTAGTTGCCCTAATAATTCCAAGCATAAGAACAGCTGCTGCAAGTTAGTTATTCCTCCTTAATAAATCAGCTGTAGATCACAAGGAAAACCTTTGCTTTCAGAAAGCTCTGGCAGATGGAACAATCCACAATTAACTTCCTTTCATGCACTGTGGTTTTAAGTTCCCCAGCAAAGCTGCAGGTAGAAATTTTCCATCAAGATAGTGAGTGGGTCCTCAGGAAAGCAATATTCCAATCGAAGTTTAGATCCAGGCCCTCAGCAGAGATGGGCACATAGGCATTTGTGCTAAGACAGAGTAGCAATTATGCCCCCCTGAGGCCCCTGGAGTTATTTTAATCACAAAAGCCAGAATGAACTTGTTTGCAACAAAGGCACCCTCAGTGCTTTCAGCTGGAAAGATACAGGTTGCTCTATTTAAACCAGTCGATTTGGAATGAGGAGTTACTCCCTCCCAGAGAGTTCCCCTTCCTCTAGCAGTGACTATTTTGGTCGCTAACAATTCAACACTCCAGTGTATGTTCTCATTTCAATGCTAAAGCACAATAACTTGTCACCACTCTACTCTCACCTGTATTGCAGTAAAGGATATATATTTTTAATCCATTTGATATAGTTCTGAAGGTTCTCCAGCCAATTCCATGTCAATCACTGCTGGATATGCTTTTTTTTTCATTCTGGATATGCTTTACTGGAATAAAAGGCCTTTTGGCCTGATCCAAAATCAGCACTGGCAGAGCCCACAGTGTTCCTTGATAGCTGTTCTACATCATACCTAGGTCTTCAGTGCTGGTGTATTTTTAGCAGACACTTCAGTGGAAGCAGCTCAGATGACTGTGTGACATTGACAACTCACTGCTGATCAAAGTGTCCTCCCTGTCAAGCCAGAGAGAAGCAATGTCTCCTCTATCTGGCATTATACAAGTCACAGGGATGAGGTACATGAAAAATATAAGTAGTAAGTGCAGAGATACAAGACCTTTAGGAGGCATCCTGGGATGGCGCAGGAGGATCCTTGTTCTCAGGCTCTGGAGGAGGAGCTGGCACACTTTCCTCTTTCTTTTGGGCAGCCAAAAATTCATGAATTGCCCTCTCTATCTGGGGCCTGAAGATGTGGTTTAGTTTTGGATCCACCACCTGAGAAATAATTCTGTCCACTCCAGCTTCCAGCATTCCTGACCTTGAACAAAGACAAAGAAGTCATTCAGCTCCTCTGAAAAACTTCTCCCCAATCTCCTCCAGGAATTCTCCAGAGCCCTCCTGTCAACTGCAATTAGCATTAACATGGTGAGAACTGCAGCCTACTCAGTAGATCCTTAACAGGGAGTTGTTTCAATCACCTATTTCCCCCTCACCCCCTCTCACTGCTCCCTACAGAATTAACAACTAACATCTGGTCTCCCAGGTACTTAAATGACACCTTGGACAGGAGCCACTTTTACCAGGGCTCATGTGGAGATGAGGTCAATATGAAAGCAAACAAACATATTTGGGCACAAACAAGAGCAACAAGCTATTCTGAGGAGGAGGGCAGGTGAGAGCACAGGCCTTTTTTTGGCTGGCTGGAGGGAGAAGAGCCCTGTCCCCTAATAACAGCACTGTCACTAGCTCCTTGGAGCTGCTAGTCTAGACAGATGGGTATTAATTACAAACACAAGCCACCTAGCACACAGCAAAGCTGCTGGGCTGAACACTGGCCATTCAAGTGACTTATTACTTCAGGGGCTGCGTCAGACTCTTGGACTGTGGGGCACAGGCTGTCTAGAAGGCTTAAGTCATGTCTGCAAGGGAGCAGGGACAGGAAATGGAGATGGTGCTTGGCACTGGGAACAGGAGCCACAGGACCAGGGAGGCTGTGAATGTGGAGAGTGAGTGGGTGTAACCTCCAGGTAACACCATACTGTTCCGTGTGCTTGCAGCAAAGGGCAGACACAGATGGGCACCCTCAGGGCTCAGCCCTGCAGCTCCAGGAGGGACAGGGACTCTCCAAACTCCCCAATACTCTGCTCTTTACCCTCATGGTCTGCTTGAAGAGCACTTTGCATTCTTCTCATCACCAGCTCTCTGATGGAACAGTTTTCAACTGTCCTCTTGATTCTAGTGGTAGAGTAACATGGAATAAGAGCATTGAGGCAAACATGTCTCAAGGACTCCAAGACAAGGAAATTTTTTCTTCCAGTGGACACCCCTTCACTAATGACAGGTTAAACAAACTAATGTGATATGCTCTTGATTTATAGGTTCTAACACGTGCTCCTGAAAACGGTTTGTTCTGTGTGCCAAACATTGTTAGCTTTTCCTGTAAGCAAAAACACCATGATCCAAGTTCCCAACTGTGTCTCTCCCCACAATTTTTGCTATACAGTTACTTTCCATCAAACAAGCTAAAGCTCATACTTAACACTGGCATGAGGCAGCAACAACCTAAATCTCTAAACAGCAGAGTTTAAACTGGCTTTCCTTGATTTCATGCTGGAAATCAATCATAAAATCATGGAACGGTTTGGGTTGGGAGGACCTTACAGACCATCCAGTCCCACCCCTGCCATGGGCAGGGACACCTTCCCCTAGCCCAGGTTGCTCCAAGCCCCATCCAACCTGGCCTGGAACACTCCCAGGGATGGAGCAGCCACAGCTTCTCTGGACAATCTGTGCCAGTGTCTCAGCACCTTCACAGGGAAGAATTTCTTCCTAATATCCAATCTAAACCTTCCCTCTGTCAGTTGAATCCATTCTCCTTTGTCCTGTCCCTCCACACCCTTGTAAATAGTCTCTCTCCATCTTTCCTGTAGCTCCTTCAGGTACTGGAAGGCTGCAATTAGTCACCCCAAAGCTTCTCTTTTCCAGGCTGAACAATCCAAATTCTCTCAGCCCTTTCTCGTAGCAGAGGTTCTCCATCCCTCTAATCATCCTGGTGGCCCTCAGTGTGGTCTCTTTTAAGCAGAGACCAGGCTGGTTCAGTGTCTTTGCTGCCTGCTTGTGGTTGAAGTCTATACACAGAAGCTTTGGGGTCATTGGGATTCTTTCTTTAAAGAATCTTTAAAGCCTTTAAAGGCTCTTCTCTTTTCTGAAGATAAAGATCAAGGTTGTTCAGCTCAGTACATCAGGCTCAGTCTTGGCTATTTCACAGAATTATAAAGGTTGGAATAGACCTCTGACACCGTCAAGTCCGACCTGTGACCCATCACCACCTTGTCAGCTAGAGCAGAGCACTGACTGCCACATCCAGTTGTTCCTTGAACACCTCCAGGGATGGTGACTCCACCTCCCTGGGCAGCACATTTCATTGTCTAAATCTGCAGCAATAATTTGGCTGGAAAGCAAACACAGATCATTCACTACTCAGAATACCAACTTCAGGTGCATTTTGGGGGGAGTTTAGGCTGTATCCACTATTGTAATGAGCAGAGCATGACAGAAAGTGTTGTGAAAATCTCAACTGTGCAAATTCTCCCTTGCCTTAGGTGCTATTTGCCTCATCCCACAGCATCCGTGTTACTGTACAGACTTCGTTTCTCACTTACTGAATGACACTCTGCCTGAGCCCATTCCTTAGCTGGTTTTTGTTCATGGCTGGATTCCACTCTTGTTTGTCCAGGTGGGTCGACACAAAGTTGTCAACTTTCTGCCTCAGATTTTGATAGGCTGGCTAAAAAGAGATAAAAATAAATCCAGTTAAACACCTAAAATACCTCAAAACAATCCCCTGCCAGAGCCCTTCACAGTACATCTGCTGACACACACAGCCTGCTCTGTTGTCTGCATTCTCCCTGCTTCCACTTCCTGAACAAAGATAATTCTGTTTTACCTGGGAACACAACTGGTGATTGCACTGAACAGTCAGTGTGGGGTTAGAATAATTTAAATAGCTGCACAGATTGGGTTTTAAATTGTTGCCTGCTCATACTATTGCTTAGGGACATACAAACTGTGTAGACAGGAGAGGTTTAAGCAGAGTTCTTGTGTCTGGAAAGTGGCTGAGTAATATTGTCACTAGCAAAGAGCTTTGAGTATTTGGTTCTGTGACACTATCAGAGAAGATAACAAGAATATGGAAGAAGATCACTATTTGAGTTTTATCAGAGGAAACTTAATGCCATTGAACAGGAATTTAACCAGCAAATCCATATAAATGCAAAGGACCATCCACATCCTGGATGCAAGGAAAGGACAAGAGGGTAATGTTTATATTTCAGAGTTTGTTGTGCATATGGGATGTTGGACTGGGAACAGAGGTACAGTGTCTGTCCTGGGCAGCAGTGACAAAGCTGCTCTGACCTGTGGCTGTCTGATAGCTTCAGGAATGGTTTTGGGCTCAGGATGATGATTCCAGGTCTCAGGACAGGACTTTTGCTTAAGAGTAATAGTTCTGGGAGAGCAAAACACCAAGTGTTTAATTTTGACAGAGAAACAGTGAACAAATCAACATCAGTATGACAACAGGTGCTCAGGAGTTCATGTTGTGGCTGAGACAAAATGAATGTCAAACAATAGTTTGAGAACATCCACTCAAGAAACGAAAGTCAGATGGTTGATTGGAAAATATGATTTTGAAAAACTGGTAAGAGTTGTGGGTAAGGGGTGGAGCATCTCCCCTATGAGAACAGGCTGAGAGAGTTGGGGCTGTTCAGCCTGGAGAAGAGAAGGTTGTGTTCCAGGATCTGAAGAAGTTTTTCCTGTGAGGGTGGTGAGACACTGGCACAGGTTGCCCAGGGAGGCTGTGGCTGCCCCAACCCTGGCAGTGTTCAAAGCCAGGTTGGATGAAGCCTTGATCAACCTGCTCTGGTGGGAGGTGTCCCTGCCCAGGGCAGGGGGTTGGAGCTGGATGCTCTCTATGTTCCATTCCAACCCCTAAAATTCTCTGATTCTGTAAGTCCAACCTGTGACCTAACACCACTGTGTCAAGTGGACCATGGCACTAAGTGTCATATCCACTCTCTCCATCTCCAGGGATGGTGACTTCACCATCTAAGGGCACTGTTCTTATGGCAAACTCTTCCTAGTAAGGTTTGGGCTAGGAAATGAAAGGTAGACCCTGTTCCCTGTCCTGTTCCTGCTCTGGGTAATGGATACTGCTCCTTGCAGAGCATCCTGCCCTATTCTTGCCTTAGGGGTGGATACAGCTCCGAGCTAGGATCCCTGTGAAGCATCCTGACCTGCTCCTACCCTGGGGGGTGGCTAGGGATGGATATCACTCTGAGTCAGGATCCCTGTGAAGCATCCTGACCTGCTCCTACCCTGGGGGGCGGCTAGGGATGGATATCGCCCCGAGCCAGGATCCCTGCAGAGCATCCTCACGGATGCAGGTCGCAGCGGGGGCACAAAACCGCAGGGACCTAGCGAGCAGCATCCCAGCGGCTGTTAACCCGCGGGACACGGCGGGAGAGGGCAG